TGACTCTTTGTTTTGTGTTTGTAATCTCAACTAGGAGATATTGTGTTAGATTTCAACTATAGCATTGATATGCTTTATAAATTGGTTGAACCATATATTGAACAATTCAATAAGAGAGCCTATTTTCTGTAAATGTATAGTAGCACATCTCTAAGGGCATTAGTGAGCTGAATATAGTTATTGTGTCTCCTGTAATTTTTCAGAGCCCATCGACAAGCCTTGCCTGTCCCATGGTTAATATACGTAATTCCGATTCACCTTGTATGCACTTTGAAATAGTCCCGAATATAGTATGTTATATATTTCGTCATCCCTGGTTGAATTACCATTCAACGATTGTTAAAGATCCGGACCATATAAAGGTAGAAAGTAGATATAGCTGTGAAAAAAATGCATTCATAAGATTCTGGAGTAAAATGAGTATACGTGTGCAAAGGTACTTGAATACCAGGATATACGAAAGATATTGAGGGTTTTTCTATAGCTTATATTCCTGTTAATACCATGCATGTTACTGCTAGAGTTAGTAAACAACTAGACATAAGTGGTAAGTTACTCTCTAATGGGGTAGGATTATTTATCCTTCTCGCTGCCTCTGAATAAAGCTATCTCACCACCAATAGTATGTGATATGCATGCTGTCGATACCTATGTATTGATTTGTATTGAGCTAGGCCTTGTTTAACGGATATATTTATCCTGCTTATATACTACAAATGTATCTTGAATTTTACAGGGGTAGCACGGTATGATAGATAAATACGAAAGATACCAATGTGCTATACAGAAAGGCATATTTGATGTTTCTATTACAGTGAAAGCATTCAGCTAGTTATCGTAACTGCGAAAATCACTTGGAGCTACTCTTAGCTCTAGGTTTTTTTTTTTCACTTTCATGGCATCTTGGCTACTGTAACAAGTTCGCTAGTTCTGGCATTTTAAATCCTTTTGTAGCTTAGCCCTATGGCTTGATGTGCAATTGACTTTGATATTGTTTGAATATATTATGACATTGAATATTTCCGGTTTAGCGATGGTTATAGTGCCCCAATACTCTCATGCGATATTCAAGGTGATGGCCTAAACGTTATCAGTATCACATGAATAACATAGTTAGCTGTTTGAGGTATTCTCTGTCATGGTACCCAATGTACTAATCCAGTAAAACATAAATTACTGCAGTATATAAATTTTATTGAATAGCGGATTAAGGGCTGGTACGTGAGTAGTGGTGTATTACCTACTAATCCCTGACAGAGTTAGATAGTTAAAATGAATGGTTTTATTCAATTAGGGTCTATATTTCATTGGATATATTTATGTGGTTTCTATGGCGACAGTGCTTGTTAAGGGGAATATACCTAATCATTGAATAGAGATTTTGGTTTTACATGCCGTGAAGTTACATCTGGTAAATTGGTGTTTTAAATGTAAAGTGGGATTTTCAGTTAAACGTATAACCTCAAATCTACGCCAGGTCCCGAACTGACTTTAGTCATAACTGTTTCTATGTTAGGCAACAGAGATAGCTATTTACCAACCCTTTCCCATCTCCCGATTCTTTCGCTTTGAGCTTATTTTGTGTAATGAATTAATTCAAACTTATGCTTTGTACACCCTTAAGGTATACTAAGTACTTGTAATATTTAAACCAATGGCTCAAATTAATATCCAAAACTACAGAGTTCTAATATTTCCAAATCTCTATTGTGGATCGAATATAAAGAATGTTTCTCGAAAGATATGTCAATCGCCTTGCGTAACAAATGGATACTTTTTTCCTATTCTCTCCTAAGCATGTATAAAGACATGGGTAGCATAATATTTCTCTATTCAATCTAACTAAATCACATAATGATAAATATTCCCCGGTGCTGTTCTGTCTGGTCATAATAATCGATATTGTTCCGCAGTATGATAGTTATCACATGCCTAATAGTCTGAAGCAAACTTCAGTTTGTTCCTAATAGACTATAAGTTTGCGGATGGGAGCAGTGGCGACTACTCGTCAAATCTTCTCTGTAGCTTTGTTTCGGTAAGACAATAACGCCTTTGTAGAAGAGATAAAGTGATGGCATATAAGTAATGTATGTTAGTTATATTCCCATGGTATATTTAATGTGGTAAAAGTATTATTTCATAATTGGGCTGCTTCTCTCCTAACTTGCTGGCTTGAGCTATCTTGTTCATTGGCCAGTTTGAAGTGTTGTAAGCCTCTGATTATGCCTGCATCGATATGGAAAGTATCTTTAAATCATACTATAGGAATTAATTAGAGGCGAAGCGTATGTAAGATTTCTGAGCTGTATCTACTCTAGAAAGTCTGTTTGTAATCTCTTGAGCTTTAGCTCAAAGTGTTTTTATCGCTTTTCATGGTTTTTGACTACAAGAGCTTAGGGATATTTCTATGTATATGATCTTGCTGTCAGAGTTTCTTGCTTTCCTGCCTAAAATTTAAATACTGGCTTCATTTATCTGTTTCACAACTCTTTGTATGGAAGGCTGGTATGTTATTAATTTCTCTTGCATCCTATCGATAATAATTTATCTTATCTTGGAATGTTAGAAACTTTCAAATACCTTAATCTTGGTTTAAGGGAGTACAAACCTGAAGTAACCGAGGAAAATTAATACTCGATATCACTTCTGGAACCCACCGGTCGTCAAATATTGTAGCTATCTGTGCTTTTGAGTTGGTTTCAAAATCTTTTACAAACTGTATACTTAACTCCCTTTTTGTGGATTCACAGTTCCCCCGAAGATAGGTTACGTACTGGACTGTTTCCAATAGCGCCTCCTGAATCTTTTTCCTACCAGCTGCATGATAATATCGGTAAAACACTTCTATTTTGAGTGAATTTATTCTATACGTATGATTGAACCTTTTTTTGGGGTATGCCTATTTTGCTATAGCTAAATAACAATTGAGACTGTGAAATTGGTTTCTGAGAGCCTGAGGTTGAAGTACTGTGTCTTCCGTGTTTGGTTATACATTCCAATCCGACTTCTATTCCCCCTTAGATTAGTCACAAGAGAGCTCATTCTAATCGACAGGTAAAGCAGTTGATAATAATAACCTGGGGATATTTGACAAGGGAGGTGTGTATCCTTCCACTTACAGGTTTATCCTTTACACTAGGGAGTCCCAGGCTAAGAATAAAACCCTCAGTACTAGTATCACTTTCTAGGACCATCCTTCCTTCCCTGGGTAGTTGCCAGATTATTTGATGTCTTTGGGTCAATCGGATTGTTATGCCTTTTTATATTTGTTTGATCTATTCCACTCAATTTCGAGATTCTTTCTGGCTCTAAAATCAGCATTCAACAGGGTATGCGATTCTTCACCGGTAGTTAGGTGGTTGCTATACTACGTATCGCCTGTTTGCAAGCGGGACTCGCTGATAGTCCAAGACTCTGTTTTATTTAAATATAATCTGTAATTGGGCCAGGAATTCGGTCTCGCATTTTGCTATTGCTACTTATTGGTTAGGAAGGGTATACGTTAGAACACTTGTGCTAGATCCATCTTTAGGCTTTCATAACTGTAAATTACTGTGCAGGAGGCCTTGTGCCGGATGGTTGTTGACAATCTAAGGATTATCTGTCTCCAATTCAACTCTGTAGACTTTGTTTTGTTACAATACAGGACTGTAAGAAGCGGGGAAAACAGACTTCGGAGGGGGGCTAAAAAGATCTGAGCTGCCTTAAAGAGCGAGCTCCAGGAGGTCTAAGAAATTGGCAGACTGAACACGGCATACTATGCACTACTTCCAATAAAAATTGGGGGCGTTAATGGAAAGTTGCCCGAAGCCTACAGATCCTGGTGGCTATATAAATGTTGTGGAGAGTTTTAAGATTTATACAAAGCTCACACTCTAAAGGCTCAATGCTTAATAAGCGGGAGAAGCTAGACACGCAAGAGAAGCTAAACAAGGATCAGGGCTAAATAAGGTGTATTTGAGAGATGCACCTGGAACAGGGAGTATTTGGCCTGACTCCTAGCTGTGGCCTTTCTAAGCCTGCTATTTATATACAGGATATATTAAGCAGTGATCATTTTTAAAATAAATGATGTAAGACTGCAAATCCTTGGCTGCTCAAGCTGATTCACACAGCTTCCCACGCTTAGAAATATTAATTTAATGTCAATCTATCTTTCCAGAGAAAGGCACAGATCTAAACGTGCGTATAGTATCTACTTTCCATCCCCACATTTAGGAGGAAACGGTCAGTATAATACTGTGGCTGATTATTAGCAAAACTGTGAGATAAGTGTGGGGAACACAGTTTGGTGCTCTCCAATCACATTCATCCATTTTACGATATGTACTCGAGCTGGTGAAGATTTTAGTGGAGCAAAGTGGGTATCTAAACGAGGTGGAATATATAATGGTCTAGGTACCCCACTTGAACCCAGGGAAATTGCTCTCTGTAACACAAATAGTAATCTATTCTATTCAACTACTAAATATGTCTTCTTCAGTTGCTCCTGCCAAAGTTTCCACCACCCAGGAAGGGATCTCCAAGTTAAATGTTGCCAAGCCTACCCCATACGCCGGGTCTAATATTTCTGCTAACTCGAAGTATCCCGAATATACACCACTGAAAAATGCCAATACCACCAAGCAGCCAGCACTTGTCGAGATTCCTTACGATGACAGAGCTTTATATGCCGATCCTGCATTGCCAAA